GTAGGGGAGGCTATAGTCTGCTACTCCCAACAATCTGGGCTGAACAAGAGTCAGTAGAATACAAGTCCCCTAAGGGATAGTGGACTTTGTCTTAGTTACTGTCATTAACAACCCGCTGCCGTCATTTGCTAAGCATCTGCTGTGTGTGGGCACTGTGCTGATCACTTCATACGCTTCATCACATATAACCCTTGAACACATTCTGTGTGGCTGTACACTTGTCCCATTTTACAGGTGTGGAAACTGAGGCTCTGACCTGAGGCTTTCTCACCACAGTGAGAAAGCAGTGGAGCCACTGCCTTCCATGGCTTCCGCCTCTCTGCCATTTATTTGTCAATGATCTTGGGTAGCTTAACATCCTCACTAAGCCTTAGCATCCTCACCCATAAACCAGGAAAAATGATTCCTGCCATGTCTACCTAACAGGATGGCTGTGGCGATCAAATGACACACAACACTTGAGAAAGCACTTTGAAAACTGCAAAATGCTGAGCAAAGCAAAGGAGTGTCAGTCTTATTAATTACAAAGAGTGACACCTGATCCTGCAAGCACTTTGCTGATGTGACTGTTGCCTCTCTCCCCTTGGGAACTTGGGAATAATTCTAAGGCCCTCTTTTTCTTCAAGTCCCTGGCATCTGGGAGTTGGAAAGCGGAGGTTTGTTCTGGAAGCAGGAGAAAACGATGTTTGCATTCTACTTGTGTTTCTCTTTAGGAACACAATCTTGGCTAAGATTCTACTGACTCAGCACTCAAACAACATTCAACACATATTTATTGAACACCTATTATGTGTTAAGCACATGGGGCTCCTAGGTGTGTAGGTTGAGGTCTGGGGGCTGGGAAGTTAAAAGAGGAGGTGACAGCAATGGGAAGGGAGCAGTCCCTGGAGCTCTGCAGACTTCACAGCTGACCTCCCAGATTCTTTTCATGGGGGTTGGGGGAGGGCGCTCACAGCACAATGGAATGAACTCTGAGCACAGGAATCTGAGTCAAAGTACTTAAACTGAGTTCTAGCTCTGCCTCTTCTCAACATCATGACCACCAGCAATCAATTTACCTTCCTGACCATCAGCTTTCCCATTTGTAAAATGGGTAAAAATGTTCCCATAGGCAAAATGGGGACAATCAAATAAGATGATTACCTGAATAGACCTAGCATGTTGCCTGAAGGTACTCAATAATAAACTCTTATTAAAAAAACAACAACAAAACACATGTTCTCTTCCTCTCACTCCAGTGAAAATAAACTACAGTAGCCAAAAGTTTGGGCTCTGAGATCAGACCTCTTGGGTGCCAATCCTGGCTTTGCTGTTTACAGCTGCGTGGCCTTAGGTAAGAGATGTTACCTTTCTAAGGCTCAATTTCATCTGTAAAAAGGTGATAATAGTATCCACCCACAGGTGGTTGTGAGGTCTGACCGAGATTCTTCATGTGATGCTCCTGGCACATGGTAAACACCCAGCAAAGGTGAGCTGTTGCTACTGCCTCTCTTCAAGGCCTTAAAAACAACAAAACTCCAAGTCAACGGGCTTGCCTCCACAATCCAAGCTGCCTGGGGACTGGCTGGCTGCCTCGGCTTGGGCTTTGGTGCCAGTCTCCCAGAGGAGACAGGTATAAATGAGGAGCCATCCCCGTCCCCAACTCCCTCCACCTTTACACTGCAGAGGGTACTCCAGCCCTTTTCCTGGCAGGTTCCTCTTTCCAAGGGCAATAGATATAGAAGTTGAGGGGCTGGGGCTGGACAGAGGTATGGGTGCACACTGAGCTCCGTCCCCCTTCCTTGTAAGCTCAGAAAGCAGGGAGGTCTTGTCCCCAACAGCTCAGAGAGAAGCACGTAGCCTCAAGCAGCAAAGTGCCATGTTGCCACATCACTGTAACACTCCCTACCTTTCTCTCATCCCTACATTTTCCATTTGAACCACAGTCCTGCATCTCTTACATGCAAAAGGGAGCTAAAAAACAGTGGCACTCAACCAGAGTAAGACAGCATTAACATTCTTTGGGAGTCAGATGAAAGATAACACAAAAATGTTTTGCTTGACTGGAGGCATCCATCCATCCACACATCCGTCGGTCTGTCCATCCATCCATCCCAACCATTTGACCATAGTTAGAAACCCAGAAGCAAGCTGAATTCTGACTGACCAGAAAAAAGTCACAGACTGTCCCTACCCAAGCTCCTTTGCTTGCCTCTCTGGGACACCCCTCAGGTTTCACGTTGAGCCCATCTACTCTTTCTCTAGGCACAATACTAACAAGCTCAAGAAATTGGAGGGGTTGCTATTTGAGCCCAGCAGATGGGATCTCAAGAAGTGACTACTATGATAAGTGAGATACCACTTTACACCGATTAGGATGGCTACTATAAAAAAATAAACAAATAAACAAGTAAATAAATAAAATAAAAACCCACAGAAAATAACAAGTATTGGCAAGGATGTGGAGAAATTGGAATCCTCATGCATTGTAAATAGAGCAGCTGCTGAGGAAAACAGTATGGCAGTGCCTCAAAAACATTAAACACAGAACTAAGATTTGGTTTAGCAATTCCACTTCTGGGAATATACACAAAAGAACTGAAAAGCAGGGTCTCAAACATATTTGTACACCCATGGTCATGGAAGCATTATTCACAATAGCCAAAAGGTAGAAGCAACCCAAGTGTCCTATGACACATGATGGATATGCAAAATGCAGTATATACATACAATGGAGTATTAGCCCTAAAAAGGAAGGAAAATCTGACACATGGTACAGCATGCACGAAACTTGAAGACATTATGCTAAGTGAAATAAGCCAGACAGAGAAGAGCAAAAACCATATGATTCCAGTTATATAAGGTACCTAGAGTAGTCAGACTCTTGGAGAAACAAGTAGAATGGTGGTTGCAGGGACTAAAGGAAGGGGAGAATGGGGTGTTTGTGTTTAAGGGGTACAAAGGTTCAGTTTGGGAAGATGAAACAAGTTGTGGAGAAGGATGATAGTGATGGTTGCACAACAGTGTAAATGCACTTAATGCTACAGACCTGTACACTTACAAGTGGTTAAAATGGTAAATTTTATGTTATGTATATTTAACCACAATCTTTAAAATGTGTGTGTGTGTAGGGGGGTAAGAATGACCTCTGACTACCAGGGATAAAACAGAGCAACAATTATAGGTGGAAACATAAACCCCAAAAGCACAGCAGCAGGGAACTATTTAGTTCAGGGCCCACTGCCCTACAGACTTGGAAGCTCAGAGGCCTCTCACTGTCACAGGCACAAAAACTGATTAGGCAGGACTTTCTCTTTTCATTCAGAGCTCAGAACAGGATTCAAGAGCCTCCCCACACCAATGCTGCTGCTTGGGACCTTGAGGTAGGTCACGTCTGAATGGGCTCTCTCCTGGCAATTTCCTTCTGCCAGCCACCAGTTCACCCCACCCCACCTGCTTCTTTCAGAGATAAAGGCTTTTGAGAGAAAGCCTCTGTGGTCCCCACCTCCAAGCAGGTGCTTTGTACATATAGATGTGAACGCAACGCCATCGAGTTGCAAAGAGAGGTTATTGATTCTCAGTATACTTTGCTTGGAAGCATATCATGTATTTCCGAAAGATTCCCATCCAAAAATAGTTTTTAAACATTTCTTTTATAGTTTTGCTCTTTAAAAAAGAACAAGCTTCAATGATCTGGTGTGGGGAAAAAAATCACTGGCTATGGGTTTTGTGTGTAAAAATCCTGTAGCTTTGAATAATAAAAACTTTGTAAGTTCACAAAGTCTCTATTCATCCAGGATCTCACTTGATTCTTACAACCTCTCTGGGAGGTGGGCAGGGTAACAGTCATTGAATTGTACAAATGGGGAAACTGAGGCTCAGAGAGATGAAGAGGCTTGTCCAAAGTCACACACACACACACACACACACACACACACACACACACACACACACAAATAGGAAGGAAAAGAGAACCAAGGCCTTACTTCCCATCAATGCCAGATGAGGCTCTGGGTTGGGACCTATTTGAGCAGATCATGCAGCCATTAAAGTAATTTTTTTTTTTAAGATTTTTATTGGGGAATTGGGGGGATGGGAACAGCACTGGGGAATTGGGGGAAGGGGAACAGACAAGTTGCTGTCGTTTTGTTCTTCAGTCTAGTTGTGGAGGACGTTGCTTCACTGGCCCAAGTTGGCACCATCATTGCGCTCTTCCTGGGTGAGGCACATCAGTCGCCGGCTTCTGGACGCCGCTCACTGAGGCCGCTGGCCGCTCACGCTGGCTGCTGGCTACATACGGTAGCCCATGGCAACCCACTGCCACAGGGGCTGCAGCCTATGCCGTCGCTGGCAACTCACAGCAGCCCAGCTCCAGGTTGAGCTGTTGTTCAGCATCTTAGCTGTAGAGGGCAGTGTCACTGGCCCTCATATGTGGGATCTGAACCGGGGCCCTCTGGCATCCCAAGCCAGTTCTTAACCATCGCGCCACTCAGCCGGCCCATGAAAGTAATTTTAAAAACAGTGTTAGCTTGGGCCGGCAGAGTGGTTCAGTTGGCTAAGAGTTGGCTTAAGACTTTGAGCAACAGGGCTGCTGGTTCGATCCCCACATGGGCCAGTGACACTGAGCCTGAGCTGAGCTGTTGCTGAGCTGCCAACAGGTGGCAGGATGGCTCAGCTGGTGTAACAAGATTGCCTGTTCGATGGTGGGCTTCATCCACTCACAACTAAGACTAAACTTGGCACCTTGAGCTGAGCTGCTGCCCCGGATGGCTCAGTGGATAGAGCGTGCGCTCTTAATAACAAGGCTGCTGGTTCGACTCCCGCATGGGATGGTGGCTAAACCCACCCACAACTAAGATTGAACACAGCACCTTGAGCTTAGAGGCCACGAGCTGCAGACGGGAAGCCAGATGGTGACTGGCGCCCTCCACAATGAAGATTGAAGAACAACAACTTGGCCGGTTCCCTTCCCCAATTCCCCAACACTGTTCCCCTCCCCCAATTCCCCTAAAATCTTTAAAAATAAACAAAAACAAAAAAAAAGTGTTAGCTTATTATTTTACCCCCATAACATCTCTCTGAAGTAAACTGAAGATATTACCATCTTTTTTATTTTTTAAACAGAAGATCAACCAAGCACAAATAACTTGCCCAAGACCACTAAAAAAAGTGACAAAGAGACCTCCTCCCTTTTGAATGCACTTGACCTCGACCACTTCCCTACAATGTCTTGACCTTGACATACTCAAAACTTAAAGGAGCCCATGCAGTTTTTATATAGGCTGCACCATATTTCTGTGAACTTGGCAGGGAGTCGATATACCTTTATTCTCTTTTTAATAGCTGGAAAAGGAAAAAAGAGGTTAAAGAAATCTTTAAGTTCCTTTTAGCTCTAAAGTTCTATGATTCTAAAAATTCCCCAGTAAGCCAATGGGTAGAGAAGCCTGAAATCACATCACCCACCTTCCTGCCTCAGCTTATGACCACCTCATCCCTGCTCCTACAAATACCAGGTGTACCCGGAAGATGGGGCCACTCTTACCTAGATGCACACATAAAATGACAAGAAAGTGCTACTGCCTAGTTAGGACCTTAGTAGGGAGCTTCACTCTGCTCTCTCACTTCAGCCCTGGCAATCTGCTAGCAAGAGGCTTCCAAACATCCCAGGTATCTGAGTCCTTCCCCGGGCCTGGGATGAGAGAGAAGTCAGTCCCAGGGACAGAACGCCACTCTGAAGTTGTAGCTTAAGTCCCTTCATTAGATACCTGCCCTAACACCCATCTAATACGGGAGTGCAATAAGGTCTGCTCACTCCTGCTCTTCTATAAACCTCACCAACTCCACTAGACACACTAATTTCATCCAACAAATATTAGGCTTTTACTATATGCTAGTCACTGCTCCAGGTACCAGGGAGTGAACAAATAAAAATCTCTGGGTTCACGCAGGAGGGGAAACAGCCAATGCCAGATGATGGTTAAGTGCCATAAAGAAAAATAAAATAGGGAAGGGTGGTAGATAATGCTGAGAGCAGGTGGTAGAGGGAAGGGAGTTGATTTTTAAAAGGATGGCCTGGGAGGGCTTGACTGGAAAGGAATGTTTGAGGAGACCTGGAGGAAGAGAGGGTGAAAGGGACCCATTCAGATATCAGGGGCTGGACCAGGGGATCAAGTGCAAGAGAAGGCTTAAGAAAGGTAAGCTGGTAAAAATCGTATCATGTCCCGTAGGCCAACAACACAAGGACTTTGAATGAGATGGGCAGCAAAGCAGTAACAAAATCTGACTTACAGTTTACAGCATCACTCTGGCTGCTGTGCTGAAAATAGTCTGTCAGGAGACAAGGGAGGAAGCAGGAAGGTCAGTTAAGAGGTTGATGGTAGCTTAGACCAGGGTGAAAGTGATGAAGATGGTGGGAGTCAGGTTCTGGATATATTTAAGGCAAAGCCAACAGGATCTATTGATTAAGTGGATGTGGGATGTGAGATGTGAGAGAAAGGGAGGAGTCAGGGATGACTCTAGAATTTTAGGGACTTGGGAAACTGAAAGGATGAAATCACCATTAACTAAGATGGAAAGTCTGAAAGGTGCAGGAGGTGGAGGAGAGGGCTCATTCTGTTTTGGGCATGTTAAACTGAGAGGCCTTTTAGACATTAGATGGGTTGAATAGGTTACAGAATATATAAGGCTGGAGTTGGAGAGGATGGGTGAAAATTATAAATATGGGCGACACCAGCATATATAATAATACATAGTTGTATGTATAATCATATAGGATTTCCATGTATGATCACATGTAATCTGTATGACTATATGTTTATTGTCGGCCCCCCCTAAACTGTAAGCTCCATGTGGCCAAGGACCATGTTTATTCATAGCTAGCAAGGTGCCTGGCACTCTCAGTAAATATTTACTGAGCAAATGGAGAAGTTGCCCAATTACTCTCTCAAGAATAGCCACAGCAGCCCACACAACGAGAAGCTAACTGGTTGCCAAGCCCAACCAGCCCAAAACAGGGCCCTGGGTCTGTCTACCCCAAGCATGAGATTCCAGAATGTAAGTGGATACGCCTGGCACATCACAGTGTCAGATATTTGGGTTTCAGTCCTGCCACATTCTCAAAGGGTGGAGCTGGGCAAGAGACTGGCCTGTTCTACCACCTCTTATTTCATCCTCACCCACTTCATGGGCAGAGATATTGATCTACCCAAGGTACATGTCTGAAGTGGCAGGAGCCCCCCAGAGGAGTAAATCCCCAAGTATTCTCTGAATCATGCAAGGTCCACCCAGCACCTGAAGGGGAGAACACAGACCTACTGGGGACGCATTAAGAGTAACAGAAAAAAAAAAAAAAAAAGAGTGACAATCACAAAACTTGATGAGATGAAAGGATTACCTAATTCTTCTAGCTAATGCAAGACTGCCTGACCAGTGGGCGTCATGTCTCTGCTTTACCCGTCAAGTGACTAGGAAAACAGAAGTAAGGCCATAGGGTGACATGACAAGGCATAAGATTTCAACTCAATAACTTTGCAGTTTTGAACAGTTGCCTTTGGGAAGATGATTACAACAGCTCTAGTAATGTAGTCTAACCCCCTCCCTTTCTGAGATATTATAAGTGTGACCCAGAGGGGTTTGATGACTTGCCCAGGGCTAACCAGCTACAGGCCCAGGACTAGAACTCAGGTTCTAGCTCTCTGTTGAGGTTTTCTTCCGTTACACCAGTGATCAAGGAAAGGTAAGAGTTACAGTGAGAGCTAGGGGAGTTGTAGGCATTAGCGTTACAACATAAAACTATGTCCTTATCAAAGGGTAAACTGCAGATGTTATAGGAATGCCAGGTACACGTGTGAGATTAAGAAGGATTTCTTCCCTTATACCAATCTTGTCATCTTACAGCTTTGCACTTGACTTTGGACATTATGAATAAAGAGCTAGTCATAGTGGGACCCAGAGAACTGAACAAATGATATATTAGCAGGTAAAAAAAATGCAGATATATACTTCAGTAAAATGTTTACATGAAAAATTCAAATGGTAGGATGAAGTTGGGTCAGCTTTCTAAAATCAACAAACATTGAGTGCTTCTTCTGTACAAGTCATTGTGCTAAGTGCTGTGTGTGCATGCACATGCATGGTTATATGAGTGAGAAAGACAAACAGACAGACACATACACACAAGGATAAGACAGAACCCAGATCTTTAAGGCTTGCAACGTAATTGCTGATGTAAGACTATAAACATCAAAGAAACAACTAATAATATGGAGTAGATAATTGTTAAGTAAGTGGCATAATGTGTCTGCAGGAGTTCTTAGAAGAAGAAATCAGGTCTACAGGGGAGAGGGTGGAACTGTCAGGCAAGATGCTTCTAGAAAGATACGGGATTTGAGATGGACCTTGAAGCCTAGAAAGGGTCTTGATAAGCAGGGGGAAATGGCATGAGCAAACACTGATGGCCTTTATTGTCAGGTAAGAGAAAGGAACCATGCCTTAAAAGGAAGGACTGGACCAGATTTGAACAGCCTTGAAAGTTAAAGTTCTTGTATAAATGAGGAGGTACAAAATTTTTTCTGAACATAGAACTATAGGGCTTGAAGCAGGTAAATTTAACAAACAAAACATCTTCTGGGGGGATCACTGTGTGCAAGCACTGGATGAATGACTGAAGATGAATTTGCCTTTGGTGGGGAACTAACCTGGGAGATGAGTTGGACTTGAGGTGACAAGGGTGTGAAAAAAGAGTGTGAGGGGGCAGCTTTGTACCACCTGCTGAAGGAAGCACCAGCAGGTCCCACCCAACGACTGACTGGCTGGGAGGTAGAACACAGGAGGCAGAGAATATTAGCAGAGAGAGGTCTTCAAAGCTGCAAGAATGGAAGAGCATAGAGAAGCTGCCTGAGGGAGAGAAACGCAGAGCTTGGTTTTAGAAGCGCTGAATCTGAGGATAACTACATCGCAGTGTCCAGTGTGCATTTGGCGATATGAGTCTGGAGTTCAAGAAGGAATAGTTGAAGATTCAGCTTAAGGGTCTTCCCAATGGACAAAGAGCTATGGGACTGATTAAAATTTCTCAGGAAGGGAGTGTAATGAGAGAAAAAAATGGAATGTCAGATTGAACCATTGGTGTGCCCACACCTAGGAGATGATGGAGGACAGGAGTGATCCGAGAAAAAAACCAAAATAGTCTAATACCAAGAAGGTAAGGGTGGAGAGTTTTAAGTAGGAGAGGGCTGTCAACTGTGAAAAACACAACAAAATCAATTATGTGGAATGAGCGCATAAATAATAAATATTTGTTGAATAAATGAATGAATTAAAGGAAGTAAGTCTTTGGGTTTGAGAATCAACTTTCCTCAGTCAGAATGGCCAGGGGTGCCATAGGATTTCAATGTTAAATTTTACCGTCCCTACAAAAACACATTTCTTCTTCCACAAGTCATCCTGTCCACAACACTGACATCCTTCCCTGCTTCACCGGTTTCTCCTCCTCTTTCCCAGTTTCTGCAACCCAACCAACACACCTTTGGTTTGGAAGGAGACAGGAAACTCCAACTAGAGCTTCCACTTCATTAACAACTCTGCCTGTGGCTCCTGTTACATAAAGGGATATGTGGCAACTGGGTGGAGAGGAGACTATGCTCTAGCCGCAACTGTACTACTAACTAGCTATAAGGGTTTGGGCAAGTTGCTCAACCTCTCTGGATCTGCGCTTTTTCATAGATAGGAGCAGGTAGGTCTATTTGGACTCTAGACAAGTTTAGAAGGTGCCTTTCAACTTTCAAGTCCACGATTTTTATCATTCTCAGAAGGTCCTTGCAACAACCTCAGAGAAGGAAGTGAGTACAAGACCCGGGAAAAGACCGTCAGACCTCTTCCCGGGGCGAACAGCCAGGATAGGAGTGTACCAAGAAAAGTGAGAAGGCGCTCGCTGCCTGCCTGGCCCTCGCGGATCACCAGTGTTGAGCTCCCATTCCCGTGGCTCGGAAGGACCCCAAGGATCCCAACACATCCTAGGGCTATTCCCACCCCGCACCCCACCTTGCTTAGACTCCCAGACCGCCGGGAGGCTCTGAAAAGCCCTGCGGGAAAAATAAAGATTTCTTTCCCAGAGTCCTGCGGTGCTTTTGCAAGTCGGATTCCGGCAGACACGATCTGCAGCCCGATAATGACACAGAGTCTTTGGAAGGAGCGACTGTTCTCGCCTCGCTCGCTCCAAGTTCTGGGGACGCCTGGCCGCCAGCGCCATGCCCCGACGGGCCGGCGTCCGACCCCGGCCCGGCTGCCGGGCCAGCGGGGCCCCTGCCCCGGGCCCTCCTTCCCTCCGCCGGCCCCGCTGCGGTTTGCAAACATTTCCTGCCCCCGTCCCCGCCCCCACCCCCACCAGGAGCTTCCCAGTTGGAGCGAGTTGGGCTCAAAGCCGGGTCAGCGCTCGCAGTTGCCCCAACTCGGCTCCCCAAGCCCCCAGGGCTGAGGAGAGGACCCCAGTCTGGCTCCGGAGCAGCCATCGGAGAAACCGGGCGCCAGGAGCCATGGGAAGTCGCTTGGGAAGCCCAAGGCTCGGCCAAGGAGGGGACAACCGGCGAGGCGCCGTGGCCCTGCTCCCTTCCCCGTCGTTACCTGCTCGCTTGCGGGGGTGTCCCGGGGCGGCCGGCCTCTCCCGGCGCTGTCTCCCCACGCAGTTGCCCATGCTGACTCCTCACCCGGGCCCCATGCACTGGAGGCGGCAGGCTGGTCCGCTGCTCCGCGCTCCTGCCCCGGACGGCGGCGTCCCTGGTCAACGGCTCCTGCCGCCAGCCATCGGGCGCTCCTGGATCTGCCCCCCGGGGGCGCGCTGTGCCCCAGCGCCGGCTTCGCCACAAACTTTGCGGCGAGGGGAGAGAGGGAGGTGGCCGACTCCCCAGCACAGTCCCAGGTGGCCGGGCCAGGGGGGCCCGCGACGGTGCCCGGCCCAAGACCAGCTCCGCTGGAGGGGCGGAGAGAGGGGGCGGGCACCGCCGCGGCTACACCCGGCTCGCTCGCTGCTCCCGGCTGGGGCCGGCCCCCCAGAGCCTGTCACTCACCTGCCTAACCCCGCCCTAGCCCGGCCCTGCTCCTTGCCGTGAGCTCGCGGTGCCCGCGCCGCCGCCGCCACCGCCCGCCCCAGGTGCGCATGTGACCGAAGGCACCGCCCCCTCGGGCCGGGCCTGATTTTCTCATTGGCTTCCCCCAGGGTGCGTACCGCCCCTCGACCCCACCCAACCAGGTGACCGCCCCTCCGCCGGTCTCCGGGGTAGCAGGGCCGGGAATTATTCGCCTTCAATAGCCCCCGGCTGCGTGCCCAGCAGCCACCACCCCTCCCCACGCAGCCACCGCAATTCCAGGCCCCGCCCCTTGAGGGAGGGATCATTCCATCCCTCCCTAGAACTGCCTGTCCCGGAGCCGGCAGGCACGTGACCAGAGAGCGCCCCGCCTTCTCAGCCTCCGCAAGGCGATTGGCTCAGGAGGCGCAGGCGCTGAGAGGTCGGTTCCGTGCCACCGCCCACTTCCCCTCCCAAGGTCCCTGGTTCGCGTCATGGCCGCCTCCACCCCTCTGGAGGCGATGGTTTCCACACGCACCCTGGAGCACCTCGTGTACGACTTCGTCATGGGTCAGCAGGAGGGCCCCGCTAACCTAGTGGCTGCAGGTACGGCAGACGGCGCTGCGCGGCTTCCGCATGGGGGCCGACCGGAGGGAGCGGCCTCAGCACAGGCGTGAGGCGGGAAGGGAGTGAGGGAAAGGGGTGACTTTGAAAGATTGATCTCGGGCAGATTATGAGCATCGTCATGCTTAAGAGATGTAATTAACAGGATCTTCCTTAAAACTCCTTTACGTCCTCATCTTGGTATATAGCCATCCTGTGCGTCGGCATGGGTTAGGAGAGTCTTTACTATTTCTATTTCACAGGTGAGGAAACTGGCCTAGCGAGGGCAACAGACTCGCAGATCAGGCAGGTGGGGGAGCTGGGACTCGTCCCCAGGTCCTCCAGTTCAGAATCTGGTGCTCACGCCGCGAAAGCACGTTGATTCTGGGAGGTTAACTTGACAAGCGTATTCAGAGGCATCAGCTCCAGTCGCGTGGCATTTTGGGAGTGGTGGGGCGGCCCCATCTCTCACTGGCTGTAATTGGAGAGGAGGAGAGAAGCTAGCCTGGGGGGAGTTTGAGATGTTCTGCGTATCCTTAAGACTGTCCCGTTTCTTAGTCCTTGATTAATTTGCTTCATGACTTTTTTTTTTAAGATTTTATTCAGGAATTGGGGGAGGGGACCAGACAAGTTGCTGTCCTTTTGTTCTTCAGTCTAATTGTGGAGGACATAGCTTCACTGGCCCATGTTCATATTATCATTGTGCTCTTCCCGGGTGAGGCAGTCGTTCATGGTGGATCACAGCAGCTCACGAAAGCACACGCCAGCGGCACTCCAGCCCCGCTGTAGCCTACGCCAGCTCCACCTCGAGCTGTTGTTCACCATCTTAGCTGTAGAGGGCACAGCCTCACTGGCCCTAATGGGATCCAAACCGTGGACCTGCTGCTCAGCGTTGGTGTCCCAAGGCAACTCTTAACCAATGTGCCACTCGGTGAGCCTGCTTCATGACTTTTTTATGTGGTGTTTGTTTTTATCTTTTTCCCAGATCTCCGGTTTCCTGCATTTGACAAGTTCAGGGATCTCATAGTTCTGACAGCTTATATAAGATTTGAATGAAACAAATTCCAGATTTCTTGGAATTCTGAGACTTCACTCTTTTAGAAAAAAAAAATCTGTAAGTTATTGAATGTTAGGAGGCCTTCAGACCTCGTGTTAACTAATAGTATACAAAACCTCATGAATACAGATGATTTTTGTCTATTTTTTAAAAATTTGCGTTGGGAAAAAGTAAAGGATGCATTTCTGTTGAAAATTGAACATATTAACTTTTAGAATATGTGATAAGTGAATAAAGTAAATCTGCAAGAAGTACACCACTTTGGTCCTTAGCAATTACACTTTTACCCAGTCATTCCACCATTATTGAACACTCATTATTCTCCAAATACATGCAAAGCAATAGGAATATAAATACAAATTAGACCTGCCACTTGTAGTGTGGTGGGAGAGAAAACCATGCAAACAGATAGTACACTACATCATGAAAAGGGCTTAAAGAGGTATGTACAAGGTGGCATGGAAGCATCAAGGAGCAAATGCCTGATGCTGCCATTCCGCTAAGCTTAACCGCATACAGCTTTATGAAGTATAGTGTATTATTAGTGCTTACAATTACAATTGACAAGTACAGTGTGTTTTCGATGCCACTTTTCCTGGTGTTTTATTATGAACATTTTAAAACACAGCAAAGTCTAAAGAATTTCATAAGAAACACACATACGAGTACCCCACCACCTAGATTTTACCATTAACATTTTAAGATAACTTGCTTTATCACATGTCTATCCATACTTTTAAATTGTAAATATCAGTACACTTCCCCCTAAATACTTTGGTAGGCGTATTATTAACTAGAGCTTGTTTACAGTTTAGTTTGGTGTAAAATTTATATCCAATGAAGTGTACAAATTCCTTGCATATTCACTGATTTTGAAAAATGCATACACCTACCCCCTACCAAGATAAAGAACATTGTTACATCAGTGTTATTAGTAACTATTCTTTCACATTTATATTATGAACACAATAATTTTGGATTTTTCAAATTCAGAACACATTTGAGAAGATGACATGAATAAGGATTGCCAAGTTCTTATAAATATCCTTGTAAAATTTATATTTTTATGCCTGAAAAAAATGGCCTCACCTGTTGTCTAGTTTAAATTTAACTCAGCTCAATTAAGACTGTAACACCAGCCCTGTTGTAATTTAACCCTTCTGACTAAGAAAGGAGGTTGGTAGTAACAGATAAGTAACAGAGGGGTAGTATCATAAGGTTGAAAAGGTTTGGTGAGTTGCGTTATTCATAACCTTGGATTCCAGGCAAAGGGATTTGAATGACCTATTGTAGGTAATAGGAGTCACTGTAGATCCTTGAGCAAAGGGGTTGCATAATGAAAGCAAATTTGAGAAGGATTAAATTGGTATTCTCAGTCTTAGATCACAGCCCTAGTTAGGGTTGTTGAAGGCTGACAGTCTTGAAGCATCCCTAGAATAAGATGGGATCCTCCATCCTAAGTCAAGCTTTGTTAGTGCTGAAGGGGCCACTGTCTATTAAGCTACTCCTACAGCGGTAGCCTCTCCTACAAATTATAATGCAAAACGAGCACCCTCTTATCACAGAGCCAGCTACCAACAACTTTGTCCTGTACCTGGGTTCCTGATGAAAGTAAGTATCAGATATAAAGGTGCAAATGGTGGAAGATAAATGACCTGGCAGTCTTAAGGGTTAAAGGCTTCTCAGCCAGGCAGTCAAAGGCAGCCACCTTGATTTGCTATTCCCTGAGTGTTTCCCTTCCCTAGCTCTGTCTAATCAAAGGTAGATGTAGGATTCGAAGCCTAGTTTGAAGGCTCACTGCCTGCCCTCCAAGTGTTTCTTGATTACTTTAACCAGACCTCATCTCACACTTCAGAATCTGTGTGATACTTATTTCTCAACCACTCATATACTTAGTAGCAGACTTGTTTAGTTGCTATTTCTGTACATATCCCCACATCCTACTCTCCTATTTCTACCACCAGAGTCTCCTGGAGACTAGCATAAGTAGATGTGCAGTAAAAACTAAATAAGTGAATGGAAATGAGAGAAGGAAGAATGTAGAATTTGAGGCCTAATTAGTTATAGGGCTTGAAGGAGAGGGAGAACTCTAAGATGACCCCAAGTTTTTGAGGCTGAGGATAAGCAAAAGAGAAGTACTTTGTCCAAAAATGGAGGTTGAGGGCTGGCTAAGTGACGCGTTGGTTAAGAGTTGGCTTGGGAGCACCAGCTCTGAGCAGTAGGGCCCTGGTTCAGATCCCACATGCTGCGCCCTCTATAGCTAAGATGGTGAACAACAGCTGGAGCTGGGCTGCTGTGGGTCGCTGGTGTCTGTGAAGGCTGCAGCCCCTGCTGCAGTGGGGCTGCCGTAAGCTGCTATGAGCAGCCGCCAACCGGCGTGAGCGACCATCAGTCGGCACAAGCTGCTGGAATGGCCGTCCAATGGCCAGTGAGCGACTGCCTCAACCGGGAAGACTACAATGGTGCCAGCTTGGTCCAGTGAAGCAACGTCCTCCACAACTAGACTAAAGAACCAAAGGACAGCAACTTGTCTGTTCCCCTTCCCCAATTCCCCAATAAAACCTTTAAAAGAAAAAGGAGGTTGGGAAAGGAACTAATTTTGAAGTGCTTTTTAGACATGTTGAAATTACAGGTGATGGATATAAATTTTTATCCTCTTAGTTTTTTGTATTTTCCTTCATTTCAATCTTTATTATATTGTCCCACATTTGTGATTCCCTGAGGAGACCACTGTTTCTGAATCCAAAAGATTGTTAAAGGACAGTAAAATATAGTTCTGAGAAATGTGTGTAGCACCCTCAGAAGAAAGGACATTTGGAGAGCTTAACTGGAACCAAAGAATCCTGATTGGGATTTTTATTCCTCCTGCTCCTTCTCACCTCCTCCCCCTTCCTCCTTTGGCTGCTACTCCAGATTCTCAAGAGGCTGCAACTCCATCAGACAGAGGTCTGATTGTGCGTTCTATGTCAGTCTCATATAAATACATCTTTGATGACTCCTCAGTGCCCCACACGAACTGGTGCCCTGCTGAGGAAATTATGGGTATTTAGGAGGTGCTAGTAAGTCCATTTTTACAGAGCAAATCTTGGACACATTGGAAAAATTTAAGCTTACCTATATAGCAAAAGGAACTTTGACTTATTTTTCCTTAATGCCAATGAGACTACCCTAGGAAAATTAAGTCTTTATTAGCTTCTTTCATCCCAGGAGTAGCAGTACTTCTAGATATTCAGGTATTTTTCATTTGGGAGTATTTATAGTGTTAAGAGAATGACTCACTTAAAGTTAGTGAGAGATGGTCCATAAACCCAGGAATTTTACTCCTTTCTTACATTAACCCAGTCTGTTTATATCACTATGGTAACACTGAACCTCTTTCATTGATTGTTTTAGGTGTCTTTCTGCCCCAATAGACTGTGGGCTCCTTAAAAACTTATTTTCTATATTTCTATCTCCAGCCTCTAACACAGTACCTGATTTATATTAGGTGTTCAATAAATGTTGAATGGATAAATGAAAATATGTGCATAACAATTTTTTAAAAGAATTATGGAGGAAACACAGAAGAGGGATTAATTCTGTTTTGGAAATCAAGGAAGTTTTCACAAGAGTTGACATCTGAGCTGAGTCTTGAAGAGTTGAAGTTCCTCAGATTGACATTGGCAGAA